GGGGGGGGGAGGGGGGGGGATGCAATAATACTTGCCCACAGGATTTCTTCTCCGCCAAATTATTGTAATCCAGTTAAGAATAACCACAAAAGATGCAGAACTAAAAGATTTCAGTATGTAAAAAAGTAAAAGATTTTTAAAACAGTAGTAGCTTCAGTACAAAATTGCAACTATATGTAGAAAAAAAAAAAGAGGTGCCTGTTGTTGAAATTAAGTCTATTTAAGAGCAGTTCAAACATATCACAAACTTTAAAAAGTACATCTCTGAATGAAGCAAAGGTTATGGGCTTGCACCAGGGTAACTAGGCAGTTGATTTCAGCCTGACCAGCATTAAAAAACCCCACATGTACTGGCTTAAATAAATACATTTTAAACATGACAAACTATTTACTCAGTTACTGAAATTTACCTAAAGAAAATAATCTTGAATTACAAGGCACAGAGTTAATTGCTGTCTGCAAGTGAAGCCCACACTAAAGGCCTACTACTAAAGGCAGAACGTGGTGAGTAGAGGTTACCTCAGTGAAATACTCCTACATCCTCATAGCCTGCAGGGCAGTGCTGCAGGAGCCATATCTGGAACAGCACTTCTTCTACGAGTGCAAAAGACACAAAGACACTGTGGGCAATGGCACTTGGTGAAGAAAAAGATGCAGAGTCTCTAGGCTTCTGCAAACATCATGCATAATGGGTGTTTTGGTGTTGCCCTGCGATCAGGCAACATTTGGAACTCTGTACTGGTTCACTGGCCACATACACCAGTATTTAGATTAACTGCAGTTTGTAATCTATGGGTTGCAGTTTGCTAAAGCAGTACCAGTACAAGCATACCTCAGATATACAAAAATTGCAGTTAGTGTCAGCATCAGTTATACCAGCTGAAAAAAGGCACACGCTCTTTAAAGAGGGAAATTAGGGCACAAATACGAATCTTTCTATCCACCTGGTATTTTTACCTGTATCAGATAAAGCAAGGTCAAATTAACACAAGATCCCTAATAACCTTGTTTATGTATTTTCTGTTATCTTGCTAAAATGAGACTTTTTTCTGCCCAGGGCATACACCAGTGCAGTTTTGCATGTGTGGGAATCACAAGAAAGCAAGTTCTGAATTACCAATTGAGGCTGCATCCGGACAAAGACAGCACTGTCAACTTCAGACAACAAAGCCCAGTCCAGCACCACCAGTTTCACACAAAGTATCTTTGAAGCATGCTGCTTTCATACCAGCAAGCTGTAAGGTTAAGTCTAAGGAAGGTTTCATGCGCTCACTCCTCAGCTGGTCCCAGAATCACACATAAAGAACAGCGCACATCCTGAAAATAAGCCAGCTGCCACTCACTAGAGCTGCTAAAGAAAGTTAAAAAGTACATAAATAGGACTTCAGTTAAGAGTTTATAAAAACTGATCACCTAGTAGAGAGGAGAAAACTGCCCAAGTAAACCTATCCAGTGACTGGCTAACCGTTACAAATTTAACTGAAACCATCAGTGAGTTGCCAGGAAGAAGCAAGGGTTCCTGGTTCCTCTAAATAGAACCTCCAAATTTTGTCAGTGTTCTAGAAAAACAACAAAGTAATTTGACGTAAAAATCTCAGGTGGTGGCCCCAAGAACATTAAGAAGTGAAGCAATTAATTCCTCAAGAACAAACAGGCAGCTGTCAGGTCTCTGGGATTCAAAGGGATCACACCAAAAATCTCATTTTGAGAAGTGTCATCCTAACTACCTCTGTCGGTCCAAGAAGAGAACTGTTGAGTTTATTCTCAAGGTGCAAAGTCTCATTGGAGAGTGAAATAAAAACTCAGTTTAGAATATTATGGAAGACTTGCATCTAAACTACTCTTCCACCTCTCCAATTCAAAAGTATGAAAATCACCCATTTGAGTGATTCATCATTATTCTAAGTTCCTTGCATTAGGAGAAATCAGCTCCTGCTTCTATTAATAAAATCATTGCAGGTGTTCCCTGGGTCTTCCTCATTGCATTGAACATGCCTTATGCTAACTCTTCATATAAAATGATCACAGTTCACTATAAGGTGAATCTCAGTAATATTTCAGGCTTTTTCGCATGTAAACAAATTGTTTTCAAGCTTTAAATTGACAAATTAAAACAACTGGACAGTCAGAATTCTGTTCATAAAACAAATTCCATCAGTAAAGAAGGGATGGAAAAAGCAGCAGCTATGCTTAAAGCAAAGTTATCAGAATTTGTGCTTTTCAGCAAGTCTAGTAACTGATAGCTATCTAGTAAAGAAGTCTGGCTTCAAAGAACTCCTGTCTTTTATTTTCCTCCATTAAATAAGGACAGAAGCCAAGTGATCCGTGGAGAAGCTGAAGACTGGAACTTTAGAAATAAAGTAGGTATTTGACCTCTCAGTTGTGTAAAAAAAAAAAAAAAAAATCTGTTCTGTTTCAGTTTCCCTGAAGCAATAAGACTGCAAGAATTTTCGTTGCATAAACCATTTCTGCTTAGAGCTGTTAGTGCAAGATGCAAATCTTCAATTTAATTCATTAAAAAGCCCTCCAAGATTCTAGTCAATATTCAACTTCGAACATCCATCACCCAAGGTAACTACAATAAGACACATTTTCTTGTGTTCTTCTTTGTCACAGGATACAGAACTGCACGCACAGCTTCAGCAAACACCTCCCGAACACCCTCCTGATTCAACGCTGAGCACTCCAAATATTTGACTGCTCCAATTTGTTTAGCCAGCGAAGTCCCCTGCTGCGGGGTAGTGGGAGCCAAACTTTGCTCTTTCAACTTTTTAACTGTTTCCAGGTCATTTCTCAAGTCTCTCTTCGTGCCCACTAGAAGAATGGGAACATTTGGACAGTGGTGAGAAACTTCAGGATGCCATTTGTGCCTCACATTTGCATAGGAAGAGGGGCTACCAATGGAGAAACAGATGACGAATACATTTGTTTGAGGATACGAGAGCGTGCGGAGGCGGTCATATTCCTCCTGGCCTGCAGTGTCCCAGAGATTCAGGCTAACTGTCCGGCCATCAACGGTCATTTGGGCACTGTAGTTGTCAAACACAGTAGGGATGTACTCTTCTGGGAAGGCATTGGTGGTATAGCTGATGAGAAGACACGTTTTTCCCACAGCACCGTCTCCAACAACTACACACTTTATAGTCTGCATTCTTTGCCCAGAAACAAAGACCTGCACAAAGCAAGAAAAAAAAATTAGGAAAAGCATACTCAATTATAGTCATTTTAAAGATAAGCTTTAGCCAGTTTTTAATATTGCTAACAATTTCTTATCACAGCTGAACACACTCAGTCAGAGCCATTATGAAGAGCTTACAGGCTAGAAAGACAATAGTGAAATGGAGATGCAATGAGTTGAGAGCTCAGTGACAACTGGCTGCATTCCAACCATGTAAATACAAAACTAGCCAAATTTCCACAGTCTTGCCTTACTACCAGACAGTTTCCCACAGGCAAAGGGACAAGTCCTTAGAGATACCTACAAGTGGAAAGGGATCACAAACTCAGACCTAGTAACAAGGTACTCTGTCATTTGTTAGGTTCACACACACCTGTGTATACACACACTGCCCTCCAAGATTCACAGTTCTTGTCTACACAGTATACTGCCTAAACAGTTTACCACAAAGAAAGGTCCAAAAATTATGTAATAAACCAAGATACCCATTGCTGGGCTCCACTGCTACTGTTTACTGTAATTAATCACTCAACTCAAGATCAATCAGACCTCCAGACACTGCATTAGTTAGAGGACACCAGATAAAAGATTTAGAAAGTAGCACATACAAGAAAAGCTGTTCTTTGAAATATAACCAGCCATAGTACCCAGATTAGAATACATAAACAATTTTTCTAAAGAAGCCAAGAACAGATTATTCTCACTAATAAGCAACAGAACAAGCAAAACTTAATAGGCTTGAGCTACAATAAAGAAAGCTTATAACTGAGCATTAGAAAAATACATGCTGTAAAACATCAGCAATCAAACAGCCTTCCTAGGCAGACTGGGGAATTGTTACAGGACATACTTGATACTTAAAGGCTTCCCTATCCCCTTGCTAATATGTGAGAAGTAGGTTTAATAGTCAAATGGATATAGCCTAAAACTCAATTAATTCTAAACTTTCCTCACATGAACAGCAGGAACTTTGAAAATAGCATGGAACAACTACAAGCAGTCATTTGTTGTACATTTGTAGTATGCTGGAGCTTCCACTGCTAGCCTGAACAAGACGAAACTTGCATCTGCCTTCTCACCCAAATGCCTTTGAGGTACTAGCAGTAATCCTCCACCAGCAGCAAATACACTGCTTCAAACTGAAGAAACAAACAGTGGGAGGAACTATATTGCATATTCCAGAAAAATCATAGCTCCAACGCCATCAAAATAGCAAAGAGACCATATGAAAATGAGCAATAGTGAAATACTTCACTTACAAAAGTCATGAAACCCCCTCCCTCCAGCTTCCTCTTCAAGACCATCCAAACAAATCAACACCTCATTACCATTTAAGTCTCAGCTTTGTCCTTTTTGACAAAGTCTTTATTGTATCCACATACTGCTGTCTTCCCACTAGGAGCACACATGATTCTTCTGTACTAAGTGAAAACATACTACCTTAAACTTTGGCACAAAGCTGCAACAGACAACTCGAGTGATACCGACTGTGGTCACTACAATATATAGTGCTTAAGGAAGTGTCAACATATGTACACACGCACTACTGAAAACCAGTCAGTGGTGGGAAGCAGTGCAGAAACCTTGCTCCATAAAGACCCAGCAGGACACTGGAGGGGAAGAATTTGGAGGAAAACAAGCAGGAGGAAGATCCAGAAGCAGTTTATCCTTTTTGAAAATGGCAGGAATTACATTTCTAAAACAACATGAATCACCTGAAATGAAATCTGGCAAGCACTTCTGAGGTTTGGCAGGAAAGCATACATGTGAGTTTCATCACACATCAAAAACAACAGTCATCCTTTTTCAAGGCTCCAGTCAAGTGTAGAGAGAGGTGTATGTGCAACTGCATATTGTAAAGGTAATCAGTAAAATGAAGAACAGCACTGACCAGCAAAAGCTGACAGAAGTACTGCATATATTATTCCAGAACAGTTGCACCAAGATTTTCATTTAACAGGGCTAGGGAAACAACAAAAAAAAAAAAAAACCAAACAAAAAATCAGTACGTTCTGTCAAATTACAGGCTTAGAAAGATTTCTTCTTTTCAACATAATATTCCTGAACACAAAGGGTCTAAGTGCTACAAGCAAACAGTGACAGAAGAGAGGATATATTTTAATACCATAACACTATTCTACCTGAAGATGCAACCGTAACTCACCAATCATAGTCTCTACTGCTTCTCTCCCAGTAGGGCAGATCACTACCTGCTTTCAGACACTGCCACACTCTCTCCAGCAGCAAGGCTGCCTTCAGAAGTTTCCAAACCCTGTTTCCCCTTCCCACCCAGGTAGCACACCATGTGAGCACATGCTGAAAAAGGGTTAGGAGTTGTTTCATCCAGTTTACCAAGCAGTACCACAATCAACTGTGTTGGTACAACCAAGCCAGTGGTAGCATACGGTGGGAATGAATCACTGGGGGAGGAACATCATATGCTGCTATTGCTGCCAAAGTTATCGCTGGACTGCAGCACAGAGAGCAGGTTTTAAAGCTTATTCCTGTGTTTACTTCAAACCACTGAAGTACTAGAAGATGCTGTGCCAGAAACCCTAGTGGTGACCAACAATTCCAGAGCAAAAGTTGTTTTCCAAATGAACTACCTATGCAACAGACCACTATTTTGATCAGTCAACAAGTGACATCACAGACATGGCAGAACTAAGTCAGTTGGATACATGCAATAAAAACTCAACTGTAGCAACAAAAGTCTCATGGAGAACGAGCTACACAAAGCCTTTTATATGCCCAGTTCATAGTTTCTAAAATAAACAAATTGCAAAGACTTGTAAACAGATCTCTCTTTAAAACACAAACCACGAGCTCCCCCAAGGACTTACACCTCTATGCATTTCTGTCCAGAGCTTTTCACAGAAAGACAGGGTATCCCAGAATTGCACTGCTACCTGAACACATCAGGCACTGATATCTGGAGGGTCATCGCACCAATATTGTAAGACAACACAGGCACTTTCATATATTGGCAAACTAAAAAGCCACATGTATCCCATACCATCAACAGCTAAAATAGCTTGATTCAACCTGATTTAAAATTTCTAATGAAAGTGTGTTACCCAAAGATTATTTTGTTGGGGCTTTATTTAAGAGGTCATTAGAGCTTTCAATTCGGAGAACAGTAGTAAGGTAACAAAAAAGCCTGGAACATTAATGTTTTCACAGCATTAAGATCTTGAATTACTTTACTAAGGCTTGGATATTAGAGGAGCAACATTTGGAATAGGAAGTAATTGCATGCAAACATGCCAAAGCATCAGGCTAAGCATGAACTACACAAATACAATTCAAGAGCTTGCAGGCTTTTAAGTATGCTTCTCTGCAGGGCTCCTTCAAAGTAGGTTGTCTTAGCTGAAGGGAATCATATGTGGCATATGCAATACAGAAAAACACACACCAGGATACACAATTTAGTACTGAAACACAAAAGGTAGAGAAATTAATAAAAAAAAAAAAAGAGTTGAAAGAAGCTCCTACACTCAAGAAACCTGTATGTTGTGAGCAGGTGTAGTTTGGATAAAAATTGACATATGGAAGAGAAAGGGGTTTTTTTTAATTTAAGCCACAACCAAGCAAACAATATTATCTCCATCAGGCCTTTTCTATTAAATCCACATATTGCTTTGTTCAAAATGTATAAAGTCTCTATTTTTTTTTAAACAATTTGCCTAGTAATAAAACTCTCATAAGATAGCAAGAAGCTGGGGTTCAAATTTGCATGGAAAACTGTTTATTTCTCAAGCACGCTTGAACTTGGCACTGCATGCTATTTGAATATAAATATATGCTGGGGGGAAAAAAAAAAAAAACATACTCCAAAACCAAAATTACCAGCAAACATTACCAAGAGCAGGAAAATTGGTTTAGGGTTTGTTTCGGGGGTTTTTTGGTGAGCTTCAAAAAAATTTTTGGGGAAAAACTTTAGAGAGAAAAATTCCACGTACAACAGGTAACAAGAACTGAAAAACAGAAAAATACAGATTAACACATCAATATATCAAAAACAAGACTTAGAATTTAGAAACAGAAAGGTGGGCACAAGCTTCAAAGCCAAGTTTAAAGGTTACTCAGCAAGAGAAAGGAATGAACAGAAAGTCCAAATTAGTGAGAAGTAACACAGGTTGCTTAGTCCTGCCAGAGAAAGGACTTTTGTTACAGTTAAGGTGGAAGATCATCAGAACATGAAGAGCTGTAGCAGTTACAGCAGAATGGGAATAGTTTTCAAAGAATTAAAAAAACAAACCCAACCACCTCACAAAGTGTTGTGCAAAAATACATAGATGAGTGTTATTTTTGTCTTGTCCATCAGTGCCTTTGGATTAGAATACTGGCATTCCTGTTTGGGTTAAGTTTCCTGCTCAGAAGATGCTGCAAAGTCTGCCTTCATTGCCTGCACACCTGGCACTTCCTTTGGAATATGCAAGATTTCAGTCAACTTGTTGAGACATCATCTGGAGAGCTGCTCCTGTTCTGACCTAATTACATATTTTCTAGTATCGTTATCATGGACAGCTTGCTCTCCTGTAACCCAACCGGATATTTGCTGGGAAAATTCACTACTTGGATTCCACTCCCCCTGCCCACAAACCTATCATAAGTGAAGTCATAGAATAACTTCATGTTGCATTAAAATTTTTTTGTGGAAGAGAAAAAACTTCTAGATCTTCCCTTTAATACTTCTGAAGGAAAGCTCCCTGTTGGCTGAGAGAAGGGAGAAAACAGTAGCAGAAAACAGAGAGGAAACATGAAACTGAATTATTCTGGGGCTTTCTAGATTTATGCTTTTTATACTTCCCGCATGTCGAAAAATTCTTGGCAGAGGAACTTCTTAGCAGGATATGTCTCTGCCCTTGCTACGTTAACACCAGATGCCTCTCTGTTAAGAGGATTTTAGCTTTGATATTGCTCTTCGATAATGTCATTTTCACAGAGTTTGTCAGGTCTTCTGTATCTCTCCAGTTTGGATAGGGCCCCATTTTGGCCAAAAATGAGCAGAAAACACACTAGGGGTTCAGCCAAAATCACCTATACTGAGCTGTGTAGTTCTGTTCAGCCACCACCTTTGATTAATCCCTCTCTGTTTTGCAGGCCCAGAAGTCTGATACTGCTTTATCAGGAGCAAGCAGAAGTTTAGATTTCTTAATGACTTAATTGCTCATCTTTCAGTAACAAAAACTGTCTGCATGATACGTGAAGTCACGCAGAAACTTTCAACAATTAATTGGGTGGATAAGGCATTTCTAAGTATATCCTACTATCCTCACCATGCAAAGGAGTTAAAAGATTTTTTCTGTGTACAGCTTAGCCACCAGACCTGTCGGGGAAAAGAAAGGGGCTCTCAGCAATTTAATCAAGACTGTGTTACTATTCCACAACAGCTCAGCTTACTTGCCATTGGTTTAGGCAAGTGCCAAACGAATGGACAAGTGCCAGACTTTCAGAATGCATGCCAAGAAAGAGTAAAAAAGTTAAATAGGAGACCTCATCCCTAATATCCTTCAGCAATGAATGACCTACTTTGACTTCTCACTGCCGTTCAAAGTTTTCACACTGCTTTCTGTCCTGCCATTTACCTGCAAGAGAAACAAAACACATGGCAATAGCCTGAGTGGCAGCAGGGCAGGGGGAGGATGGGGGAATCAGCAAGCCAAGCAACATTTCAGCAGCACAGCAAGAACCATGCAGTCCACCACCCAGAGTTCCACGTGAACAGCAGAATCGAGGAAGCTTGCTTTCTGCAGAGCTCTGCCTGGAGGTTCAGCTCCCGTGCACATATTACTGATGCCTAACAAGAGTGCAATTCTCACTGGTTGTTCCTGTTCCCTCAGTGTGAATGCTAGAAAGGCACAAAAAGTTGTTTCAAAGAAATAAAAGAAGCCACCCAAAACCTTTCATATAATGTTTTTAAAACCTCTACTCCTGTCAAATTAGGCTGAAATTGGTTTATTGATTTAAAGGTTAATTTTTTTTTGCAGGGACAAAACACACATAACCTTTACCATGTAAGCAGTTATTTCTTAGGGACCCACAGTGAAAATGAAGTGGTCTGCATGAGGTATTTGGGCACCTCAACCACACAAACCTCAGTGCATCAACACTCTTACTACAGGCATGCATACTCCAAATTTTATAGGAGAGCAACAGTATTAGTGACCAAATACCAATGACCTTAAATTCCATGAATCCAGGATTATGTTTATTGGATAATAAATATCTCATAAGGGCATTAGAAACAAGCTCGTGAAACAGCTGCACGGCTGTGAAATAACACTAGACCAAGGTGCAGCTGCTGTCATACAGGAACTAAAAACTAGGACTTCAGTAGATATCTGAATCCCCAGTACATGAATGTGACATGTAACCTGCCATAATCAAAAGCTGCAGAGTATTAAACTTGATTTTCCTCCTGTAACCACGTGCAGAAGCACAGATTCATCAAGACAGGTACCTTTCACAATTTACTTGAAAACAAGCAACATTGATAGGCTTCAAGGGTGAGCACAGTAAAGGTGTGAGACTAGGAGCAAGGACTGCAGGGTTCTGTGCCCAGATCCACTACTACACACCTCCTGGCTGATAAAGCAACTTGCAGAGGTGCTGGGTATCACAGTCAGTTCATAAGAAGTGAACAACATTGTCCTTCCTACCTTTTATAGATTCTGGCAAGACCTTATTCATTACTGTTGGCTAAAGGAAAAAAGGCAGTACTTCAGACATGAGGTTCTGTGAAGAGGCACATTAAACACATTGCAGGATGAATGATAAATCCAGTTAAAGCATCCCTGATTCCTATTTGAGGTGGAAAAAAAAAACTGTTAGTCTATCTTCCCATCATCTTTTGTCACCCGGCATTCATTGGCACTCTAAACGCTCTTTATTTTTAAGAAAAGTTGTAACAAAGCCACTGTTGTATTTGAAGGGTAATATGTATACTGGGAAAATCTAAGCTTTTTCCTTGAGAAAAAAGGCCATACACGCTTTTCATTCTCTTTGATTACTCCTCCTCCACCCCCAAATTTCACTGGGGGGGTAAAAAAAAAAAAAAACCAAAAAAAAATGCACTTGGTCAATCAGTAACAGTTTTGAAAAGTGTCTTTAAATAGTTTTGATACAATTAAAGCATGAGATAAAGCATGCACTCAGTGCGTACTGTATCATGGCTTGTGCACTACAACATTGCAGTATTTGCCAGTCTCATTTGCACAGAGTATCGCAGTTCTAAAAAGTGAGCAGAAGTTACCAGTGGCAAAGAGTCTCTCAGCAGTCTATCAGATTTACACATACTGGCATAGGAAAGTAAAGTTAAAAAAAAACAAAAAAACAAAAAAACCCACCTCCTTTTAAAGGTATGTATCTTTACACGATACCAAGTTGTGTGAAAACCCTTTGGACTCCAAAAGAATCACAGCCTCATCATGTAAGCAAATCAAACTGCATATTCAGTTTACTCCTACTAATTACAAACCACATATTTCATTGTTTTTCCAAGATCTCTGTAAAGTTCCTTCTAAGAAGAACATTTATAAGCATCTTTTTTCATGGAAATAGTAAGCTAAAATGCCAAATATGTCTCCTAAACTTAAGTTCCCTACAAAAAAACTTGTGTGCGGCTGAACACTGGCAAATTGGCCAAACGGAGCCTTCATGCTACGTATTTTACATTTGACACAGAAGAGAATGTAAGCTTTTTAAAATCAAAAAATAAGCCTGGGACAAAGAGCACACAGCTAATGATGCTGGCAAAAGGAGTGCCACACTCCAGCGCAGGACATGTTGCATTTAAAGCGACTTTACAACTCAGAGTAAATATGATGGGAATCACAAGCATTTATAAAAAGTAAACAGATAGTGACTATTCATGAGGTCTTTAAAAAAAAAAAAAGAAAAGAACAAAGGAACATCAAATTCAATCAGAAATAGCAAGGTTCAGAACAAATAAAAGTTAAGATCACTTCTGAGGGTGCGAGGTTAAGCTAGGAATTCCTCAGTACCGGATGTTACAAATACTGAAAGTTTATAGGACTCAAGAAGAGAACCATTAAGCTTATGAAAGGCAGCTCTGTAGAGGCTACTAAATTAGACAACACCTGTGACTCCTGAAACCCCTCAGAACATTTTAGGTCAGTACCTTGTGTCACTACCTTGCTCTACTCTTCCTGAGACAACAATCTGGCAGTTTTTAGAAAGCAGATCAAATATGACTACTCTTGCATATCCCTGTAAAGGAAAAACCACTCTCAGCACTGAAACAAGAGACCTTTAGAAAAGGCTAACTCATCATATGCCAACCTTTTATTATATCCGCTGGGGCCAGAGGTCACCTTAAATTTGTCACGGTAGTCCTAACGTGGATTAGCATCAGCCTGACTTTAGAACAACCCAGCCCAACCTTCGGACACTGCGGAACAGGGAAGAGCAGAACCTGCCCACGCGGCCATTCCGCTTCCCGCACACCCCTGAGCGAGAAATGCGACCAGAGAAAAGCTCGTTCCAAAACATCCCCCTTCCCCTACTGCTCCAGCACCTCCGGGCCCCGATGAGCACATTCCACAAACACCACCGAGCGCAGACGCCGGGACGTGCATCCCATCTCCCGCAACCTCTGGAAACTAAGAAAACTACAGGCCCCACGGCTGGGGGCTTGATTACCCTCTCTACTCCCAGGCTCGCCCTTCCCTCCTCCTCCGGAGCCGGCTGCTTCCCCCGCGGGGCAGATGCCGAGGAGGCGCAGTCGGCGCGCCAACAGCCTCCCCCGAGAAAGGACCCGCGACCGCCGCAGCTCCCAGGCCGGGAGAGGCTGGCGCCGACCCCAGGCCGCCGCCCCGCTGACAGCGAGGGTGGCGGCGGCCGGACGCAGAGGACCTTCCTTCCCACCGCGCCGCCTGCCCCGGCCTCCGCCCGGCGGCAACGCTGAGAAGAAAGACCCGAAGATGCGCGGGCTGCCCGGGGCCCGCGGAGGCCGCTCCCCCGCCACCGGGCCCGCGGCCCCCCCCCCTCAGTTCACCTCCCGGCCCCTCAGGGCCCGCCGCGGGCCGCGCAGCCGCA